TGTAAGTGTAAATCTTTATGGAAAAAGTCACCAGAGTGTACTATCACTCACTGCTAAGTTAATTACTAGTGAGACAGATCACATACTAAGAGCTTGGGGAAGCCTCTGCTTTGTATTGATTGTGGTAAACAAAGAGGCCTTCCGTATGAGTTAAAGCCACCCATAACATCTCAATTCTGGCCACAGGGAGACTGCAGACGTCACAGGTAACTACTGATACATTCCAGCATTTTAATACAAACAACTCTGAGACCTCAAACAGAGACAGAGACTCTAAATACTGGCTCTCAGTTCATGCCTCCTAAGGAAGGTGGGTAAGATAAAAATAGAAAAATGTGCTTCAAAGCCTAACCAGAAAATACCCTGGCACTAATTTCTTAGTTTTCTAGATCTGTGAAAACCAAATAATTATAATTGTGTTAAGATTTGGGATCTTAACAAAAGCATATGAACTCTCTTCCTTGGAACACACACATACACACACACACCACACACAAGAGCCTGTCACTTCACAACTGTAAAAAAAAAAAAAAAAAAAAACCAAGCTTCTCAGTGCCTAAGGAATGACAAGCTAGTGGGCCAAAATGAGATCGCTGCTGTTGGACTTTTGATATGGATAATTACCATGGCTTCTACAGTCTACTATCATGACACATCTCCTGCAAAAATACCTTCCCAAATTTACTATTTGGCTGGCTCTCCTCTTCAACCAAGCCTTGCACTAAAACAATTATTAATTACAACCAATTTACTGGCCATTCATAACTCAACCATCTATTGAAAATGAAAAAGGAGTGACCCAAATAGTTCCTGGGGATACAGTCTGCAGGGAGGACATCACAGTCTGCAGGGAGGACAGAGTCAGCAGCCACTGTTTCCCTCTGTTTTCCTCCCTTTGTGATCCTTTTTTCAAATGTAAATTACATCTGGCAGAGGCTCCCAGAGTAGAGTATGGGCTCTTTTCTCTTGAGCTCAGTAAACATGAAATTGAAAATCTTTGCTTCCTCACTTTAAGTACAAGAAAAGCCTAGAGCAAACTGATTCAGTTCCTACAAGTGAGAGGGGATTTGAATGGATCCGAAGGCAAACTTTCATGTTTGGTTAGAGAGACAGAAGATATAAAAATAGAACTCGTGAAATGCATGCTCTGTGATAAAGTGACTTGCTAATGACTTACCAAATAAAGCGCCCGTGATTAAGGCTCTCGATGGTCAAATTTACTTTCTGATACTCTAGCAGAGGCAGACAGAAAAACACTGTATACATTCCTTTCCTATATGTTACCTGCTAGGAGTGCCCACAGAATTTTATGCCTTTATTTATTAATTAAAGATTTATTGCGTGTGTGTGTGTGTGTGTGTGTGTATGTGTGCACATGGTGCCTGCAGAGAGTGTTAAGATTTCTCACAGCAGAAGTTAAAGGTGGTTAACTATAAGCCACCTCATGCAGGTACTGGCTGACCTCAGGTCCTCTGGAAGAGCTGCCAAATGCTCTCAACTGTTGACATCTCTCTAGCCCCACCCCCATAGAATCTTAATAAATGGTTTATCCATTCCATAGTTGGGAACCTGAAAAATCATAATGCAGTAGTATCTCTCTTGATCTTGGGGATTCGTTATTATTTACCTAGTAGTTCTCAAAGAGGCACTTTTCTTTTTGTGTCTTTGAGACACAGTCTCACTTGGTAGCCCAGGCTGGCCTTGAATTCGTGGCACTTGTCCTATCTCTATCTCCTGCTCAAATACACTTCATTACTGCCAAAAAGCCAAGAAAACAAATGTAACATCAAAATACATAAGGATACTTACAAATAACCCGAGAAACCCAATGAGAGAACATTTGATTTCTGAAACTTTTAGACTGCTCATCATCGGGGCTGGGGAGACACTTAGCAGCTAAAGGCTTGCCTGCTTTTCAGGGGACCCAAGTTCAGTTCCCAACACTCACACCGGCTGGGAGCTCCAGCCCTAGGGGACCAACTCTGGCCTCTGTGGACACCCACGCTCACATGCACATAATTAAAATTAAAAAGGAATAATTTTTGGAAGAAATAAGTTTGGAAATAAATGACTAAATATGAAGGAGCATTCCTCCCACCACATTTTGCCAAACATCCGCTGTTTTTTTTTTCCTTCTCTCTAACATCCACTTCTTTATATAAAGAAATATACTTGAACAAATGTTTTCCTTGAATACATAAAACACAGGTTTGCTACACTGTATGTAATGCATAAAGAATCCATTCTGGTCAATGTTGTCTCACTTCAGTACACCAAGGTGTAATCATTACCATTTGGCTGTTTGGCTAACAACATGGGGGGAAACGTGGACTTGTTTGTTTCGGGCAGTGTAGATGGTTGGAACATAGTCTCACCCAGTAGCCAGGCTGGCCATGAAATCCCAGAATCCTCCTGGATCAGCTTCCTAAGTTCTGGAATTCCTCAGCTCAGTCACTGTTGATTAAATCAAAAGTGCTGCATGCTAATAAGTCCCTGTGGTTGCCAGCACCAGCCTCTGCTCCAAGCACTTGAGCATTGAACCTCACCTAACCTTGTACCCACGTGTACATTTTCATTTACAAATGAGAAAATTGAGGCCTGGTTAGGACAAGCAACCTGCCCAGAGTCACTCAGCATTAAAATGTCAGTCCTGAGGTCATGCAATCTGCTGCCAGGGCCTCTGCTTTAACTGCTGCTTCGTGCCACCTTTAAAACAGATCCCCAGTGAAGACAAAACAAGCGTGTTCACTCTGCTTTGGAGTCTCACCCCTGTGTGGAGGAATCACAAAGAGGCCACCTCTTTACAAATTAAGTAGGAGAGAGCCTTTCCCATTTTCTACCTTGTCCTTAGCCTCAGAAGAACAGCCAAGATGGAAATAAGAAATCTGTAGTGTGCTCCCAATATGCAAGAACCTTAGCATGCTAACAGGAAAGCAAGCTATCCCTCCATAATATAGGAAAAGTCATATTTATCACAACAGATGCATCTAGGAGGTGTGTAACAGTCAACACAACAGCCAGGTCTAGTGACTTCCGGTCCCACTCCACCCCATTCCATCCTCTCCAATGTTGCTGAAAAGCTGAGAAGTTCACTGTAGTCTCAAAAGCTCAGCCTGAGGCTATGGCCCGCCTCCCTCTAGAAAACATTCACAGAAGACATTTCCAAAGGTGGCTCTAAAGGCTGTCACCAAACCCTGCTACTGAAGCACCTTCTGGCCAGTAACCCAATACGGACACAGAAGACACAGAATATTGTTAGTGACACAGACACCACCGTTTGCCAAGCCTGTAGCTTCTGTAGTTACACTTCAACCTCGCTCAAGGTGAGAGTCAACCACGTTTAGCCACTGACACTTGTCTCAGGTGACAGTCACTTCATCTGTGATCCTGGCAAGAACAGCAAGCCAACCCAAAGTCTTCCAACTCCCTAAAGAACTAACTTGTTTCTAAAAGCTTCTCTGAATTTTTATTTTATCTCTCTGCTCTTGCGTTCCTTTCAGCAGAAGGGCTTGGTCCAAAGTCTTTTAAGAATGTGTATACATTTGGGGAGAGATGGCTCAGCAGTTAAGCATTGTATACTGCTCTTGCAGAGGACTGGGGTTCAGTAACTAGCACCACAATGGGCAGCTCACACTGTGATTCCAGTTCCAGGAAGACCTGATGCCTTCTTCTGGACACTGCAGGTATGTGCATACAACCCATAAAAAGCCACCCATGCACGCACGCACGCACGCACGCACGCAAGATGGGTCAGTGGGTAAAAGTGCCCGCCGCTCAGCTTGATAATCTGTGTTGACTCCCCCAGGTCTCGCATGGTGAAAGTAGAGAACTAACCCTTACAAGTTATCCTCTGACCTCCTCATGTAGGATCCCCCTCCAAAAAAAAGACAGAGATTTTAATGTTAAAAACAATGATGTCTATATTTGTACAGTCTCAGGAAGTATGCATCTGACTACACACAATTATCTTTCTAAAACCTACGTATTATGAGAGCTTTGAATATCTGAAATTGTTAAATAAAATACCTATAAATATAAAAATACATGGTTGTTGCTTATAACATTAGTTCACAAGCTATAAATAGTAAAGTATTTTCTATAAATACAGAACAGCTGTTATTTGATTTTTGGAAGGCAAGGGTTGCATTTGGGTAGTCTAAGAATACTTTTTTTTTTAAATCAACTACTCTCGTATTTAAAAATCAGAGAATTTAAACTCATTCCTTCAGCTTTACTTTCAACATAAACTATGATGGCCCTAATTAATTTCTCTTGTGCAACTCATTCTCATATTTTAATTTTATTTATTCCATCTCATTATTGTCAAACATTTTCTTTTATTCCCCTAAACACTAAACCTTTTTTAACCATCAATATATTCACTAGTTAACTGTAAAGATCCAACTGTAACTATATAAACAATTCTAACATTTTTGTATCACTTACATCTAAATTTTAAAAATTTAAGCCCTTGTACAGTAGCATACACCTGTAATCCCAGAATGTGGCACTCAGGAATGGAAGGTTATCCTTAGCTACCCAGCAAGTTGAAAGCCAGCTTAGCCTTTCATCACACCCTGTTTTTTTTTTTTTTTTAAAAAAAAGTATATATATATATATATATATATATATATATATATATAAATATACATACACACACACACACACACACACACACACACACACACACACACACACACACACACACACACACACACACACACACACACGTATATAGCGCGCTGGTCGAAGGTGGTGCACACCTTTAATGTCAGCACTCAGGAGGCAGAAGGAGGTGGATCTCTGATGGTTGAGGCCAGCCTGGTCTACAAAGAGAATTCTATAACAGCCAGGGCTACACAGAAAAACTCTGACTTGAAAACTCTAATCAGTCAATCAATTGATTGATTGATTACTATTGATTAATTAATTTACTATTTGTGATCAGGCTTTACCAGATTCTTATACAGGTCACTATACACACAAAATAAGGAGCTAGAGTGCTCACTTTGGCTGCACATAACTAAAATTGAAAAAATACAGAGGAGATTAGCATGGCCCCTGTACAAGGATGGTACGCAGAACAAGGAACTAGAGACAACTCTGAGGTTAAGGGCTTGCCATCCTTGCCGAGGACCTGAGTTCAGATCGCAGTACTTCCTATGCCCTATGACTCCAGCTCTGCCCTCTCCTCTGCTGGTCTCCATGGGCACTGCGCGCGCGCACACGCGCACACACACACACACACACACACACACACACACACATGCACACAGATCCATGCACATAAATAAGACAATAAAACTAAAAACAAATTACTATATCAGCACATTTTACTAGGTCACTAGGTCATTGTGTCACCTCACAAGGTCACTGCACAAGGAGCAACATGTGCTGACTGGACACCTTAATATTAGGCATACAATGGCAAGCCAAAGTGGTAGGCTGCCAGAAGCCTCCTCAGAGGGTCTACGATACAGTCGCATGTGTTCAGCCATACCCTTCACAGACTCAGGCACCTTCTATGCAGCTGCTTGCCTCCATCGATTGCCCTGTATTATATCTGGAAGGAGATGCCACACAAAATGTTTTATAAACTATTCAACTGGCCACCGAAAATAAAATTCTCAGAATACCAGATGTTTCTCTGTATAAGCACATGAGAGTCAAGGGTTGGAAGAGAGGAGAGGAAAGAATGTATTCTTAGAAAAATAAACTGGCTAGAAACAGCCAGGCAGAGTAAACAACTCCAAACAAGCCTTTCTCAACAAGGTCTGTTTAAGCAAAGAGCTCATCATTCAGTGGGGGAAGTCACTTTTAACTGAATTTACTAAACCCCACCTTAACAGAAGCCTCAGTGTGAAGGTCAGAGGCATCTGTAATCCCTGTCCCCACTGAATAAAAGCCCTCTGCTTCCACTACCCAACACATTCTTCAAGAAAGTCTGACAGGAGGGGCAGCCATACCATGCATTTGTTTTAAGTGGCATTTGTGGCTCTTCAGCCTTCAGGGGGTGAGAGTTGCCAACAGGTAGCATCTCAAGGAAAAGGTAGTACTCACGGACAAAATGTGCCTTTAAAACAACAACAACAACAAAACAAACAAAACCAATAAAGCATTCTTGAGTGGGGAGCCGTGAAAAATAATTTCCCGTTTTGCTTTGATGGGGTCACTGATGAACCCGCCTGTGGCTCCCCATATCTGCAGACATAACCCAACTAAAAATGACATATCAATATGCCTTGCTGTGATGGTTTGTATATTCTTGGCCCAGAGAGTGGCACTATTAGGAGGTGTGGCACTGTTGGAGTAGGTGTGTCACTAAGGGTGTGAGCTTAAGACCCTCATCCTAGCTGCCTGGAAGCCAGTCTTCTCCTAACAGCCTTCAGATGAAGATGTAGAACTCTCAACTCCTCCAGCACCATGCCTGCCTGGATGCTGCCATGCCCCTGCCTTGATGATAATAGACTGAACCTCTGAACCTATGAGCCAGCCCCTATTAAATGTTGTCTGTATAAGACTTGCCTTGGCCATGGTGCCTGTTCACAGGAGTAAAACCCTAACTAAGACACTTGCTAAGCAAAACCCACCCCTGCACAAGTAGCTTTTCTTCTTTCTATAGTCTAAATGACCTTTACAAATGGGACCAGGTTAGCCAACAAATAAATGGCCATTTTAGAGAAATAACCTTTGATGATATTAGCTGAAGGACCACCAGTTATAGTTGGGGTAGGGTGTAAAGAAACCCCTCTCTTTCCCCAGTGGGCATGTTAGATTATTACCTCTCAGCAGGGCTGGAGAAGGCTCAGTGGTGAAGAGCCTTACTGTTCTTGCAGAGGACCCAGCTTTGGTTCCTAATATCCACACATTGGCTTACCACCATCTATAACTCCAGTTCCAGGGGATCCAGACAATTTTCATAGCTCCACCCAGAACCAAGCACACTCGTGCGGAGCAGTTACATACACGAAACCAAAACACTCATACCCATAAAATAAAAAATAAATAAAATATATTTTTGGAATAGTAGGGATTAAACCAAGTCTTTGTATGTTCTTGGCAAGTGCTCTACCACTGAGCTATACCCTGCCCTAGGGACATTTCCATTTATCACTCCCAGAGACAGTCCAAGGAGTGTAAGAAACACATACTGTGCATCCGCCCTAGAACAGTGGAGTAGAGACAGCAAGGAAGCTTCTATCAGAAGCTGAGGGGTCCTCACTGATGTCCTCACCAAAAGATAAACTCAGAGTACTACTGACTGAGCACCCATAATCCAAAATCTGAAGTGCTCCAGAAATCCCTAACTTTTTATTTTTTTTTTTCACATTAGGGATCAAAACTCCACGACTTGTGGATGTGAAGCACCTGTTCTACAGTTGGGCTGTACCTTCAGCTTCAGGCGCCTGGCCTCATGGACTACAGGTCACAGTCACTATGCAGGCACTTGGCTGGGGCTGGAGGTCAGGAGGAAGGCATTTGCCTCACAAAGATGAAGCGCTGGATTCATTCCTAGGACTGCCAAAAGACTAAAAATAGTGTGAGCCCAGGTATGGTGGCACATGCCTCTGATTCCAGCATAGGGAGTTCAAGGTCAGCTTGGGATCTTAGCACATAGAGGCATCTTTGTGAGTTTGAGGCTAGTCTGGTCTACTCGGAGTTCCAACCCTGCCAGGGCTACACAGTGAGACTGTCTTCTAGAAAACTTGTCTTTAGGGTTTGTGTGGTATATGTGAACATAAATGTGTCGTATTCAGACACGGCTCCCATTCCTATCTCGTTCCGCACACAAGCAAACATCTAAAGAGCTGAGAAAAAAAAATCCAAACTTTGAGACACTTCCGGCCCTAAGCATTTTGGTTTAGACTCAGCCGGCATTATCTTTTTTATTTTCTTGCCCTGTAACTAGGTGGAAACAAACAATTAAGGAAGTTCAATCGTCCACTGGTGAGTTCTTCCTTCTTCTGTGGGAGCTGACCATATGGCGATAAACTCGAAAGCTGGTCATGGTTTTCCTAGAAATGCTGAGAAGACATTAGAAGAAGCAGCGAGAGTCCGAAGAGGAAAATGGCGTCTGGGGGTGGGAAGCGGTGAGCCTCTCTGATGTGATGAGCCAATCAGGATGAGGAGGAGTGGATTGCGTCCACAGATGGGTGTGACAGGACCCTCCATAGCACAAGGACCCCAACCCAGCCCTGGGAGCAACCACACCAGGAAAGTGGAGGACTGAAACATGCGTCTCCATGTGAGCTTCAGGGAACCATGAGATGACTTCCATTCTGCCCAATGAATTCCCCTTCCCTCTAGGCTTCCATCAGTTAGGAGAAAAACCCAAGCAGCCCGACAGCTGTCCACACAACTGGACTCGCCCCTGCAGGACTCACGTTCGATTTCTGCCATTGGCTTATTAACGACAACGTGACTGATGGATGAGGCTTACGTTATCTGTCAGCCCCAAAGCTTCTTATGTGGATGTGGTTGATTATTGGGACTGCAGATCTCCCTGTCCCTTTACCTGCTACCCTGCTCATGGCACACAGACACGATCTTCATCCCACAGAGTTTACGCAGCCAGGAAGTCTGGATAACAAAGAGTGTTCTTCCCACACCAAGCTGAGACCCAGACAAACAGGAAGGGACTTCTGTGATAGTGTGTATCTGGAATCTCAGCACTTGGGAAGTAGAGGCAGGAGGGTCAGGAGTTCAAGGCCAGCCTGGGATACAAAGTGAGTCCTAGGCCAGGTTGGTGTACATAGTGAGTTTAAAGGCCAGATACATAGTGAGTTCAAAGCCAGCTTGGGATACATGAAACTCTGTCAGAAAGAAAGAAAGAAAGAAAGAAAGAAAGAAAGAAAGAAAGAAAGAAAGAAAGAAAGAAAGAAAGAAAGAAAGAAAGAGGGAGGGGGGAGGGAGGGAGGGAGGGAGGGAAGGAAGGAAGGAAAGAAAGAAAGAAAGAAAGAAAGAAAGAAAGAAAGAAAAGAAAGAGAGAGAGAGAGAAAAGGAAGAGTGAGGGAGAGGAGAAGGGAAAGGGGAAGGGAAGGGGAAGAGGAAGGGGAAGGGAAGGGGAAGGGAAGGAAAGGGAAACAGGAGAAGCTGTTTGAGGCTGAGGCTGTAGCTCAATGGAGAAGTGCATCCAGGATGTGCAAACTTCAGGATTCAATTGCCAGCACAAGAGAGATGGTGGGATGAGAGAGTGAAGGAGCAGGAGACAAACTGAGCATGCTCAAGAATGAGAGAAGAAGAGAGGACAATATTACATTGAGTGGAGAGTTTTTTACATGACAAGTGCTTCACCAATGACTCAGGTCCCAGAAACCACCTGGGTGGTGGCAGCATTCAATACCCTGACGCTGGCAATACCGGGTGCACTCAACTGAAAGAACTCAAGAAGGCCACCCTTGAATGGGTGTGTTTTAGCTTAGGTAAATAACACGTTAATAAAGTTGGGTTGAAAGTCTATTACCCAGGACCTAATTATTGAGGGTAGGGCAAGTCAGCTCCATTAATTCCTTTCATTCGGTTTAAACCGCCTGCATTGTAGCTGCCCCATTAATTCTTATAGAACATAAAACTTAAAAAAAATAATAAATGCCAATGATGTTCAGGTAAGTCTAGTTTTCTAGTTTTCACAAGCTGTGATCGGTTGCTGGCCTGCAAAGGTAGCCTAATAAATCTTATCTGTGACTCACCATCAGCTGAGGGTACGGCTCTCTGTACCTTATATTCTATACTATAGGAAGACGATGATGACGATCGTAATAAAATTACTGAGTGGGCGGCTGGGGTAAAATAAAAGAAAAACAAATGTATAAAATCTATGGGAGTGTCAGTTATTATAAGAAATAAAACGTGGGGTAGGGGGCAGGTGTTCCACAGAGACAGCCATGCTGCTTTCTCAAAGAGGAAGAAGCATTTTCAGGAACTGTTGGGAAGTGAATAGAAGCAGGCAGATGACACTCTAGGCAAATTTTGTGTGCACATTGATACGTAGGGGACACTGCCATCTGTACAGCTCCAGATCTGGCTCTATTTAATCCCATCTAAGTGTGCTTTAGAAAACACTTTCTAGGAATGACAGAGTCACCCGCCGAAGCTCGTGCGCCCTC